GGGGGAGAAGGTGTTGGGGGCATAGATCGGGGTTGGTGATGGGACCTTCTCTCCAGGCCCTTCCTCCCCTGTCTGTCTCTCTCCCCGTGGACCCAGTGCCAGAGCAGCTGATGGAGGAGGCCGAGAGCACAGGCAGGGGGTGCTGGGGTGACCCCAGGCCAGCGCTGCAGGCTGGCGTGTGGGGGAGGGGATGCTGATTCCTGGCCCCAGCCCTGGCAATGGTCGGAGCTGCCGAGGGACAGGGGAGCCAGGTCCCCAGGGGGCAGGGAGTGGGGCTGGCACCTCCCAGGGGGTCGATGGGCCCGTCCCCTCCCCTGGTGCTGTGTGGGCGGAGCCTGGGAGCAGGTTTTCCCCCCATAGGGCAGAAGGGTGGGGCCTGGGTGTGGGAATGGGGGCTGGAGATGGGTCCCAGGGCTTTCTGCCCTGATGGGGGAGGGGTGTCTCCGTGCAGCGGGGTTGGCAGCCGGTTCTCACCCTCTCCCTGCTGGACAGTGGGGTTCTACGCCTCCATCTTCGGGGTCATGCAGCTGCTCTGCCTCGTCACCTGCCCCTTCATCGGCTACGTGATGGACTGGCGCATGAAGGACTGCGTGGACGGGCCCGTGGGCGCGGGCGCCGCTGCAGCAGCGGGGTGAGAGGGTGAACCCCGGGGCGGGGACCCGCTGTGGGGGGTGACTCTGGGGCGGGGACCCCAGTGGGAAGGGCTGGGGGCGATTCCTGGCACAGGGGCCGCGGGGCGGGGACCCTGCTGGTGACTCTTGTCCCTGCCGTTCCCAGGACCGGGGCTGAGAAGTCGCCCGCCAGGCCCCGTTACCGCAAGATCCAGAAGCTCACCAACGCCATCCGGGCCTTCACCTTCACCAACCTGCTGCTGGTCGGCTTCGGGGTCACCTGCCTCATCAACAACCTACCTCTGCAGGTACCCCCCCCACCGTGCCCTCTCCTCGCCTGCCCCCGCGGGCTGGTGCCTCCCTGAATCTCCTGCCCTCCCCCTGGTGCCCCAGGGCAGGGCCTGGGCCGATCTCGCTGTCTCTCTTGCCCAGTGACACCCCCCAGGGCCAACCCCCCCCATCTCCCTCCCTCTCTCTCGCCCTCTCTCTGCAGTTTTTGACCTTTGTCCTGCACACCATGGTGCGAGGCTTTTTCCACTCCGCCTGCGGGAGTCTCTACGCTGCTGTGTGAGTTCCCACCCGCACCCCAGGGCCCCCCCGCCACACCCAGAGCCGGCAGGGTTGCCCGCAGGGGCCTGAGCTAGCAGCCTCGTCTCCCTCCCTCCCTGATCTTCCTGGGGTCCACACCCGGGTGCCCAAGGCTGATGCAGTTTGGTGGGGGTCAGTACCTTCTCATGGCCAAATATATGGGGGGGAGTGACCAGTGGGGATGTGGGGCAGGCAGGAGTGGAGATGGGGGGGTTGCCCCCCTGGGTCCTACACATCTGCCTGTTGGCAGGGGCCATGGGAGAGGTTTGGGGGTCGCTAGCTGAGGGGGGCTCACTCCCAGGACTTAGGGGCAGGGCCTGGTGACCCAGAGGGGGAGGCGACACCGGGAGGCAGAGCCCTCACTGGCTGCTTGGCCTTCGGTTGGCAGGTACCCATCCGGTCACTTCGGCACGCTGACCGGCCTGCAGTCGCTGATCAGTGCCGTCTTCGCGCTGCTGCAGCAGCCGCTTTTCATGGCTGTGGTGGGGCCCCTGGACGGTGACCCCTTCTGGGTAAGCACGGGGGCTGTGGCCCAGGGCCAACCATGTCTTAGGATCCCTTCCCCACCGGCCTCGGGAACGCCTCCTCCAATCCCCATCCCGTGGAATTAGCACATGGTAAGGGGGTGGGGCCGTACCTATGCCTGACCCCGCCCCCGAGGGCTTAGACTCCGCCCTGTTCTAGGACTGATCCGCTGAGGGGTGAGTCTGGGACCCGACACCCCCTCCCCTGGCTGGGCAGTGGCTTTGTGGAGACACCCGGCCCGTTTTGACTAGACGTTGCCGTGTGCCTCAGTTGAATGCGTTAGCTAACACTGGAGAGGTGAGGGGCGGGGCTAGATACAGGCTCCTCCCACCATCCTGAAAGGAGTCTCAGGAACCTCCCTGCCCCTGGAGAAAGTCAGCATGTTTTGGTACATTGAGGGGAAGAACAGGCTGGACATGGGGGCGGGGGAGAGGGAGGGGTGCAGGCTCTCCTCTGGCCCCAGGTTGGGCGTACAGAGTGGGACCCGAGCCTTTCCTCTCTAGGGAGCGCTGACCCCCGCGCCTAGAATGGGACAGTCCCTGGTGGGGCAGGTGACTGCATCCAGATCGGCAAAGCTGCCCAGTTGGCATGCAACGGGTCTTGGAGTGCCTCCCCCCCCGCCCAGGGGAGGGGTGCAGGGCTGTGGCACGGGCCCGTTTCCCAGCTTGCCGTGCCGCTAATACAGGGGTGGAGAAGGAACATATTTTGGTGGCTGAATCATTGAGTGGGTAGCTCAGCTGTGAGATGAAATCACTGATTTTCCCCCGCCCCTCCCAATCTCTCCCACTTGCCTTGCATCCCCCCCAGGTCAATTTCGGCCTCCTGATCTTCTCTCTCCTGGGCTTCCTGCTTCCCTTCTACCTCTGCTACTTCCGGCGGGCCCTGCTCCGGGACCAGGCGGCGCCGGCAGACACCCCGGATCTGGTGGAGGGCGCCCAAGTCAAACTCCAAGCCGGCGTGGCCCTCAATGGCATGCTGAGCGCTGACGACACTGCGGCATAGGGGGGGTTGGGGAACGGGGAGGGATGGGGAGCGTGGGTGACATAGAACAAAATGCCAGATCCGCTCATCAGCCGATTGCCGAACAGATGGGATGAGACACTAAGAGCAGGAAAAAGAAACACTTGTAGGTTTCAATACGCGGGAGCCATGGAAATAGCCGAGCTGCGACGAATTTCTAATAGTTTTTATATATATCGAGAGAGAGAGAGAGATCTATATATTTTTGCAGGGAACTCTATAAAGCTCTAGGGCTGTAAATAGCTAACCAAAGATTGGGGTGCACGCCCAAGCCCCAAATCAGGATACACCCTTCCCCTAAGTATCTCCCCTTTGGGAAGGGTGCTGGGCCAAGTCCCGTCATCATAATAATTTCTTGCACTTACCTAGCCACTCATCTGTCAAACAGTGGCGGGGGGCCCATGTTATAGATGGGGAAAGTGCCTCGCTGCCAAATCCTGGGTTTGAATCATGACGCCCCCCTCCTTTCCCTGCCTGACGGACACTGTGTTAGCAGATAGGTGAATTCTCAAAGGTTTCTCTCCCTGCTAGGACGTCCTTCATTGGCCAACATGGGCTGTCGATAAAGTTTCCTTTAAAATGGGTTCAACCCAAATGAAAGGAAGTGTTTCCTCGCACATGCACAGTCAACCTGTGGAACTCCCTGCCACAGGATGTTGTGAAAGTCAAGACTATAACAAATCTTAAAAAAAACCAGATAAGTTGATGGAGGTTAGGTCCTTCAATGAGAATTAGTCAGGATGAATAGGGATGATGGCCCTAGCCTCTGTTTGCCAGAAGCTGGAAATGGATGACAGGCGAGGGATCACTTGATGATTCCCTGTTCTGTTCGTTCGCTCTGGGGCATCTGGCATTGGCCAGTGTTGGCAAACAGGACACCGGGCTAGATGGACCTTTGGTCTGACTCTGTTGCTGTTCTTATGTTCTCTAGGACTGTGGTTTTCAAACTTTTTTTTTTTCGTGACTCAGTTGAAGAAAATTGTTGATGCCACCACCCAACATAATTTAACTAGAGTGTGGGCTCCGGGGTGGGGCTGAGGGCGAGAGCTTTGGGGTGCAAGAGGGGGCTCTGGCTCTGATAGAGGAAGCAAAGGTGGGGGAAGCAACTAGTCGACTATCCAATAAGCTTTTATTTATCGGATAGTTGACGTCCTTAACATCCTTAGTCACAACCCCTAGTTTGAAAACCGCTGACCTAGGACATCCCCTGCCTGCCAACAGTGGGGTGTCGATAAAGATTCTTTCTCTCCTAGGACGTCCCCTGTTTGCCAATACTGGGGTGTCGATAAAGATTCTTTCTCTCCTAGGGTGTCCCGTTTGCCAATACCGGGTGTCAATAGAGTTTCCCTCCGTTCTTGGGCCACCCCACCCCAAGCTGCCCTCTATCTGCTCACTCTGGGGTGTCGATTGTGTTTCCTCTCCCCTGTTTTCATAAGCTATCTCGCTGGGTACGGTGGCTGTGAGCCCCACCCCACTCCAGCGGAACTAGGTGCTGAGGGGTGTCGGCTGGCATGTATTTCTCAGGTGCTCCGACTCGTCTCTTACTCGGGAGAGAGCAACGGTCCACGGTTGGTACGAAGGGTGGATCAGATAGGATGGGGGCCATTCTGAGTCCGGCTGAGGCTCTCTGGGGTAGGGGGGTGGTTGACAGCACCGGAGGGAGGGGTCTGAAATCAGAGGCCATCTCGTCACTCCAGGCAGCGCTGGGCAACCACCCTTGGCCACCTCCCAGTGCCATCATTGCATCTGTTTTCTGCGGTGTTACCACCCCCCCCAGGAGCCAGTGAAGGGCTAGGCTGGGAATGAGCCCCTGCCCCCTCCTGTTTGTAACCCCCACTGTCTCTCCCCTCCCCCCTCACTGGTACTCTCCAGCCAGCGGGGGATTTAATTTATTGTTCTGCTCGTGTTTCAGAGGAAATAAAAAGGGAACGATGAGGCTGAGCGGTGATTGTGTGCAGGGAATCCGGCCTCCACCCCCGGCGAGGTCCCTTCTCTCCTGGGGCTTCCAGCAGGCTCCGGACAAGGCCCCACAGGAGCGGGCACCTAAGGATGCCAGAGGCTGGAATCAGAGAGCAGGAGCAGCCAAGCTGGCTCCATCCTGGCTTAGTGCCTGAGGTCTTAGTGGTGACAGCGAGCGCATGTGCAGGACACGAGGGCAGGTGTGTAGCGAGGGAGCCCTGCGGCACGCCGGGAGCTGGCATTCTGGGTCTGCCCCATGCAGGGACAAGGGCGAGTCCTGTGTCCCACCTGAGCGGGGTCTGAAATACCTGTCGCAGCTCAGAAGGGGGCCTGGGCGTCATGGCCGACAGATCAGGGCAGAGCTCTGCTCAGGGCACAGCTGCCAGCCAGCAGCAAAGGCATGAGCTGGACAACATTTCAGGGCTTTCATGTCAAGAGTGGGGTCTCATCCGCACGCCTTGTGCCAGGTCATCCTGTCTGCAGAAGGAGGGTGCAAATCAAGAGGGGTGACAACAGTGAGCCGGGGGCCTGGAACACTGCCCAATGCTGGGTGATTGAAAAGATGGGGGCTGTTACCTTAGAAGGGTTGGGGTGTGGATGGGCTGGAAGTCTGTAAAATACCCAAGGGAAAGCTGCAGCTGCTCCTCTCCTTGCCACCTGACAGCAGGGGACAGTTGGAGGTGTGGGAGGGCTTGTTTTAGACAACACCCTGTTAGCCGGTGGAACACAAGATTTCAGTGAGGCCAAGAGCAGGGCTCCAAAAAGGGACTAGTCCTTTCTACAGAGAACAAAACTAATCTTGACTTTTAGTGAATGCTGCCTGCGTTGGGGCAAGGATATTAGACCTCCGACTGCTGGGTTTAAGCCAATCCCTGAGGGCTAGGCATGAGGACCAGAGTCTCACACGTGTTCCCGCACGGCTCTTACATGGTCCAGGGCAGCCGCTGGTGCCCACCACTATTAGAGACAAGAGACTGGGCTTGATAGCCCTGGGCTCTGCCCTGCTCTGGTGGGCTCCATGTTCTCTGTGGTGACAGGCTAACCAGTCACAGCCTTATGAGCCCCTGTGGTCACCCAGTCAGAACAGGGTTGGGCCTGGTTAGTACAGAGATGGGACTATGTTGGGGGGCTCTGCACTCAGTCAGTATGGTGCTAGGGGGCGCTGTGCTGCAGGGTGGGGGGGGTCAGTGTGAGGTATTGACCTCCTAGTCGTTTCTGGCTGCAGTACCCTACCGCAGTGCTAGGGGGTGCTGTGTGACAGGGACCAGGGCAAGACTCAGTAGGGGGCGCTGTCCCCACCCAGACATTTCTTGGCTGCAATGCCCCAGTCTGGTGGTAGGGGGCGCTGTGTGACGGGGAACAGGGCAGGACTCCCTAGAGGGCGCTATCCCCTTCCAGACATTGCTGGCTGCAATGCCCCAGTCTGGTGGTAGGGGGCGCTGTGTGACGGGGAACAGGGCAGGACTCCCTAGAGGGCGCTATCCCCTTCCAGACATTGCTGGCTGCAATGCCCCAGTCTGGTGCTAGGGGGTGCTGTGTGACAGGGACCAGGGCAAGACTCAGTAGGGGGCGCTGTCCCCACCCAGACATTTCTTGGCTGCAATGTCCCTGCCTGGTGTTTGGGGGCGCTGTGTGACAGGGAACAGGGCAGGACTCCCTAGAGGGCGCTATCCCCTTCCAGACATTGCTGGTTGCAATGCCCCAGTCTGGTGGTAGGGGGCGCTGTGTGACGGGGAACAGGGCAGGACTCCCTAGAGGGCGCTATCCCCTTCCAGACATTGCTGGTTGCAATGCCCCAGTCTGGTGGTAGGGGGCGCTGTGTGACGGGGAACAGGGCAGGACTCCCTAGAGGGCGCTATCCCCTTCCATGACGGGGAGCAAGGATGGGGATCTACAGTTTCTCTGCTATGCCTTGGCCCATAAACCCTCCCCACAGAAGCCCCTTTCCGCGTGCCAGTCGCCCACGGGCCACACCTTCATTCCAGGACAGGCCAAGCTGCTTCAACCCCTCCCAGACTGAGCTTCTGGGCTCCAGCCCTCCTGCTTCACCCCACAAGCTGCGCCCAGCGTGTCCAGCCGAGCCAGCCACCAATGTAGCTCAGCATGATGGCAGCCCCGAGACTGGCATGGGACGGCAAAGGGCAAGCTGGAATTCAGCCTGTCCCCTTCGCTCGTTGGGAGTGGCGTGTGCAGGAAACTTGGCAGCCACGTCTCTGGTGGAGTGGGGCCAGCTGTTGTCTCTGGAGGCTGTGCCAAGGATTGGCGCTGGTGCTGGTCTGTCCTTAATGAGCCCTTCAGCTCCCCCCCCCCCAAGCAGGTACGTGCGCCAAACACCTCGGCCCTTCTGGGCTTTACACTCCGGGCACAGCCACACAGAGGGAAACTGAGGCACGCATGGAGTCCTCCAGATACTTGTCACCAGGGGCTCAGGAAGGGGCCCTCTTCCCTCCCCCTCAGCGCTAGTGCCAATGCCCCATGGGGGAACTGGACAGGCTGTGCCACAAAGCAGGCGGGAGTTTGCTAGTCGGTGTTTTCACCTCACTGTCCATGCAGCCTCCAGTGTCCCAGCATAGCACTAGGGCATGTTGTGCTGCAGGGCATGGGGTGGTGGAGGTATTTGGGGGCCGCTCTCCACCGCTGCAGGCAGTGGCATTAGCAGCTCTGTGCTGGTTTAGGTTCTGTCTTTCAGAGGAGACTCAGAAATGAGGCTTGGCCAAGGGGCAATAGGGGACCAATCTCCCTGTTGCGGTTTCCAGCAACTCAGTGGCATCACCTTGCCAACTCCAGCCTTGTATTTCCCTCCCACCTCCCCGCTCAGCCCCGTGGAGTATCATTTGGGCAGCACCGTGGTTCCTCTCCTAAAAGCCTTTGAGTGTTACTAACAGCTGCTACGCCTTCCCCCAGAGGTGGCTGCATCTGAGGCTGGAGACATAAGGTCATTGAAAAGTGTGGCGGGGTCCTTAGGCCTGTAGTGCCAGTGACACAGCTGGTATGGCCCTGCCCCCTTTTGGCTCTGGCCCCCTTGGTGGAGCAGGAGAACAGCTCGGTATAATTGCCCAGAGCTGGGGTTGTGTTTAGTGGCGCTGTGCCCTCTAGAGCCCCTGGGCTCCCCCTATTAGAACCGTCTGCATCTCACTGGGCTGCGGCCTGGCTGGGTCAGGACTAGCGTGGCTGGGTCGGCTGCTTTTTTGCTGGTCAAGCGAGAGAGTTTGCCAGTTTTATGCTGTGTGGCCCATCCCGCTTCCCGGCTGCTGCCGTGGTTTGGCCTGGCATGGTCCCAT